AATTATTTTTTTCTGAAAAGGTGGTGTCTATTTACTTGTGACCACGCTGTGTATAAATTATATCGAAAATACAAATTTTAGAAATAAATAAATTTTGAAAATTATCCTACAGATAATACTATTATTAAGTAATATATTAACAACAACTAACATTGGAAAATGACGGGTGAGGCGCAACAAAACGCATGTTTAGGGGGAAAGGGTATCATAAAAAAAGTTCGCGCACCATTGATCTATGCCACGAATATCATATTTCATACTAAAATCACATCGAAAGCTGATACTTTTCTGTCGATAATGCCATGAGATAATGCATCTGAGTATCTTTATGAACATTGATAAAAAATATTTAAGAAATTGTCACATATGTGTCAAGATCAACAAAAACTCTCTATTACCCTTTTAAATTTTGATATGTATGAGTTTATTCCTCTATTTAACAAAATGCTGTGAAGATGTAAGTCATTAAGATAAATACTTTAAATATACAAGTGTAAGTGATTTTTATTACAAATTGTAGGCCTATTGGACGAAGATATAAATACAATAAAATATAATGTCAAACTATTTATTTTACGCTCACAAAGCAGGTACTTTTTCAAGCTTCTCTGACGTACAAGAATAAAATTACTACAAGAACAGTTAAAACACAAAGTAGCTATTATGGATTGAGTTCTAACTCTAGGTCGATATAACAATTTTTCTAAACACTAATATCACAACAACAGTCAACAATAATCATACATACGTATACTTTTAAAAAAATAAAAAAAGCTTGTTCATACTTATGACTGATATTGTGTTTCTATGGTAACATCATGGTCAAACACTGTTGGAAGATAGTAGATTAATATGCCACCTGAATACCACTATTGGAGGAAATTAACTCATCTGATTCAAGGGGGTTATGATAAAAACGATTTGATTAAGCAACAAACGAGTTAAAATAAATCTCTAACTATTTTCAAAATCACATAAAAAATAGAGTTTAAGAGATCTTTCTCGCTATGTACAATTGCAAGAATGTGAACCTCTATGACATCCAGGGAGAACTCGGTTGTAATAACGTCTCTGTAGAAGGACACTTATTACATATACTTCTAGTCTATATAAGTTTACGTGTTTGAAAAACGTTATGTACCGGTAATTTTGTTAGTTTCAGCTAATGCTGATAAATATTCCTTTCTTTATTGGTGTAGTTATACATGTTTTATATTACAAGAACACAGCTACCTTCAAGTCTCGAGTTCGCTTAAAGACCAGCTAACCTTTGTCCGGCAACAACCGAAAGGTTTGAACATTTACAAAAAAAAAGATGTCCTTTACATCTTGAAAGAAAAATGAACTCTACTCCTCCAGTATGTTATCATGAGATTACCTGAGTATTTAGAAAACATGATCACTATTTAGGTGCAATAATTCATAGTAAATGCGCAGAAAACAAAGGTCCAGGTAGCTTAAGTGGAATTTGGATAGAAAATCAATAAAAAACATAATAATTTGAACTTTTCCGGACTGTTTTGTGTGTGTGTTACAAGTAATTTATTTTCCAATGTGGATCGTTTCATACTTGAACGGTTTCCTCTAATCGTCATAGGTAACATTAGTTAATGTAGAGAGTTTAAACCGTGGTTTTTCTTAGAAACTCTTTAGGTCAGGACCTATGTAAGGGAGAGATACTTTCTAAATATAAGACTTGTTTTTTATAGCATTTGCTGGTCAGACATCTTCAAACGATGAATTTAACACAACTTCCCATTTATTATGCAAAACAACAGAAAAACTTTGCAAATTTGTTTTTAAATTATGGACCAGGCACACTTGAAAAAAATCGTTGAATACTGCCGTGAACTTTGTTTTCTGGACAAGCGGGTAGCCATTCACTTGCAAAATAATATCAGAATTCAACTTATCACATGACTCTGAAACCTGTTATCTTCACGGAGTTAACAACCAACCATCAACTCTTCCGCTGTTACAGTTTAATAAAGAGTTAATAATTATGTAACGTTTCATAAAGCTTGATACAAAGTTTTCTCAGCAATCCATCCCCCGGTAGGTCAGCGGTAAATTTATGGACTTACAACGCTAAAATCCGAGGTTTCTTTCCCTTCAGTGGACAGAGCGAAGATAGCCCATTGTCTAGCTTTGCGCTAAGACAATAATCGTTTTCTCAGAAGTCCAGAACCTTAATCGAATGCTTGTTTATTCAGTAGAATGGTTTTCTACATTTCACGATTAACAAACTGAATGCGATATTACTATCAACCAAGTGAGACGGAGCTTCATTGTTTGAGAGTCGCCAATATACAGTAGTGTTATAACTGATGTACCAGCGTAGTTAGCCACTACATATGATTCTTCTACCACTATAACGAAACTTTGACCATGCCATAACAAAATGTACTGGAACATTATTAACTAAATAATTGCTGGTAAAAAAGAACGTCTAAGCTCGCCTTTCCTCAAATATAAATTGAAAATGTTAGTAGTAGGAAAATGTTGCAAGAGTAAGATTATAAATGTATTAGATTACTTTGAGTATGACAATTTTAAGATCTAAATTATTTCAAAACATCCTTACATTTATTCATTTAAACTTAATGTATGAACATTGTCAACGAGGTTAGACTTTATATGACATCAAAAGTATTCCGACAATCTTGCGAAGAGGAATTCACGTTTCTTTATCCTAGAAAACAAACTACAAATAATTATTTTTCTTAGCTAAAAACGCTGCCTGAAAGAGTATAATCACATTATTTGCTGAAAAATTAATGGAAGAAGGTGGAAAATAACCCAAAAGAAATCGCTCATTTTTCTTTCTTTCTTTCTTTTGCTTTCTCGAGTCATTCACTCAAAAACAGTGAAAAGCCGGAAAGAATAACAATAATCTGTTTCCATGGAAACATATTCAAAAATTAATTTTCATTTACTCTCTATGGAAAGTCTACGTAGGAAAAATTCTGAATTACCTTTCCTGCAAATTCAATCTAAAATAAATTCTTATTCTGTTTTATTACTTTTCCAAAAGTAAGATGATCGTTGGAAGTTTTCCGCCATCTTAAATAGAAAGGCGGTTAGTGTCAGTGACAGTCACATTGTTACTCTACGAACAAGGTTTTTACTTTGAAATGTGTGAGACGGTATGGGCCGATTTATATTTCATGTATCTTTTGCTACATGTTTAAGTTATTTCACGTGTCCACTTGGTGTCCTCAGGCGTGATCTTCTACCTGTGCAGGTATCCATCTCTGAATCTTTACCAGGTTTTCTATTCTTATAGGTTCTCTTTCGCATTCTTAACAGCCTGCTAAGGTAATCTGGCCAGTTATTAGGCAACAGAACCAATAGAAAACCAATATTTATAAGAAGAACTCCGGCCAATTTCATACCCCTGAACACAACTCCATAAACCTGGACATCTATAGCTGCAAAAAAAAGTATATATATATTACTAAACATCTGGTAAATTTTGAGTCGCTTAGAAATTGTAAAATCAAGTTATGGCTAAGCAACGCTGTGTGAAGTTTTAAATGAACTGATTTATTTGTATTATTATTTAGCGGTTTGGGAACTAACCTGCTGATGCTGGAACTGCCAAGACTAGTCCAAGTGTTAGAAACAGTTCATACGTCCACAAGATTCCAAAATTCCCCAACAGATTGGCCACTGGGAAAAACAAATAGACTGTGTTGGATTTCATACTTTGAATTTCTCGGTTTATCTTCATGAGAGTGACAGTTTGTAGCGTGTGCTGGTTCAGCATATATACATAAAAAGAAATACCCGGAGGAGAGAACAATATTTATTTATCCAGAGGTTCTGGTTCTAAAATGTCACGTGTCAGGCACGTGATAGGCTCACACTCTATTGAAAGAACTTTTGAACTTTTATTTCAAGTTAGCTATTTTAGAAAGCATTATGAGTAGTTAAGAAACGAGACATACGCTTGAAATAATACATAAGTAGTGTAAATGAGAATGAACTCTGATATTTCAATCATCCACCAGCTTAGATAAATACCAATGTATGCCACTAGGCACCACTTTAATGGAACTATCGCAATACAATATTCAGCCAATGTTGGTTTTACATGTGGATGCAATATTAAAATTTGGTTCTATCTGTCCTTCTATTTACCCTGATTCACGTGTTTCTGTTTTAAAGCATTAACCAGGTACATATATATTTAAGCTTTAATTAGCACATAATAAGCCGCATATCTTAAGATGTTTTGTTTATTAAACACTAACTTTTTTCTCCTTTTCTATAATTATATGTCATTAGAAAAAGATGAAAAAAAATTCCACACTTTCCTCATGCAGATGGCTGGACGCCTTTCATTTTTATATGCTGAAAATCTGAGGTCTAATTCCGCTAAAATCGGGTTTTGATGAGGTAGGCAGAGCACAGTTAACTAATTGCACATTTTTGTGCTTAACCCCCCCCCCCTCCATTTGTGCAACATTTAGTCTGCGAACTTACAACGCTAAAAACTACGTTTCGATACCCGAGGTGGACCCATTGTGTAGCTTTGTGCTTAGCTACAAACAAACAAAAAAATCTTTATTTTTATAAAAGCAGCAGCACTTATAAAATGAAAAAGTATAATTCTAGAAAATTTACTTTACACAAATAAAGACCCATATTATATAAAATAATATATGCCAAGTAAGAGGAACTTAACGAAGCCAAAGAAAGTTTCATCCAGTAAACCTATTGAACACTGAAGAAGCTCCACTTTCTTGGTGAAAGCAGCAATATTTGACCCAAAAAAGTTATTTTAGAATTAACTCACTCTGACAGGATTTAACGTCACCTAGCAATGATCATATCTCTGAGAGATTGACTATTTGTTCTGCAAAAACACGTCATATACAGCAGTAAGATATGGAACACTTACCCAATGAGAGGAATGCAGCGCCACCTAGCAAAGGCCATGGGAGTTGATTCCAAAATATTGTTTCGGCATGGGTAAAGTATAAAGTAACGACGAGGGGCCACATTAGAAAAGCATTAAATAAACCAATGAGAGTGAAAAACAGCGACAGCTGACCAAATGTCACTTCGCCAATGAACTTCTTGAAAAAGACCTAATAGTAAAACGTAAATATATATATATATATATATACAATAATAAAATGTGAAGTAAAACTTGTCATTGTTTAGGTAAAACACTTACACTGAGCAAAGTTAATAATGCTGGTTAAGTCTTTAGTTACTGTTATACAGTAGAACCTGAATAATTTAGAATTTATTCGCTGAGGTTCCGAATCACATCCCTCCCAATCAATATACAAGATCAACGTAGGTCCTTTCTCAAATACACTGTTCTAATTCACGAATTTACGCGAAATACTCAACTTGTGCTTCCAAACACTACGTTTTAAAATACCTAACGCATATTTGAACCTGTTAAATAACATAAATACATAATATGAAAGTCTAAAATATCTTGGAACACGACATTCTTCAATATCTTAAAATATGTTGGGGCGTAACTTGTTTCAAACGCTAGATGTATTTTAGAACGTATAATGCTTCAATTGCTCAAAGTATGTTGAAATGTAATATGTTTCAATCAGCTAAAGTGCGCTGAAACTTTCCTTATTTAAAGCGCTTCACAAGTGCTGTAATGCTACTTTTCTAATACGTATTGAGGCACCCTTCTTCACTTACGTAACATGTATTGGAATATGGCGTGTTTCAATCGCCTCACGAGCGTTGAAATACATCTGTCTTCAAAGGCTTAAAGTCTGCTAGAACGTCAGCTGAGTCAAGACTTGAGTAAGCTTGTGACGATCCTAACTTAAAAGATCCTGTCGTTGAACAACTGTGAGAGTTACCGTAATAAATTGCGCCGAGAAAAGGTGTGGTGCATTTTAAACGACAGTTTTGCCTTAGGCGTTAACCCTAATGTCCGAACAGACCTCGATGTATATTTTGATTTGGGAAAGTGGTCTTCGATATTGATTGAGGTGGAGTTTGAAAAGTATGAAACAAAAAATAATAATAATTAAGACACAGAAATAATGTTGAAATTGCAATTTTGACGTAATTTCCAAAAGCTGTTGCTAAGCCAACTAGATCATTGGAATATCACTATGTATATTTCATTTCTGAAAAAAATAAACTCGCATCATATACTTCCCTTGTATCTGAATGGCGCCTTCTGTTAATAGCAATGAACACATACTTTTGGAAGTCAATAAACTCGCATCATATACTTCCCTTGTATCTGAATGGCGCCTTCTGTTAATAGCAATGAACACATACTTTTGGAAGTCAATAAACTCGCATCATATACTTCCCTTGTATCTGAATGGCGCCTTCTGTTAATAGCAATGAACACATACTTTTGGAAGTCAATGCTTTGATCTTTCAAAGAGAATTTTCGACATAACGTAAAGCGAGTTTATTAAAATAAATATAACATATCCGAATAGCGGCTTATCCTTCGCCATATCATCGCCTCCTATCGGAGGGTTTGTAATTAATTCATTGATTATCGATTTATTGTTGTAATTCTTTTGTTTTTAAACACAACGTATTGCAATATGTTAAATTACTATGTGATTGCTTTCACTCACCTTGTACACAGCCGAACCAGCGGCCGAGGCTGATGCTAGGATAACGCCCCCTAGTGTTAGCGTTCTAGATGCGCCATCCATGTAAGCCAAGAGTGCGATACCTGTGTTGCATAGGATTACAGCTACAATCTGGGAGAAAATAGCAAAATTGCATAAACAACTAACTAAGTATACAAATGTATTAATAACACAAATTAACACCAACAACTAGTAAGGTTCCTCTATTATTATTTTTTTTTAATGTGAATGATACGTGCTACATCTCCTCGTCTGGATTGCCAACAAAAGTCCAATTTTATAATGGAACCAGGTTCTAGTCCACATAGCACAGCTTAAAAAGTATGTATTATTGAGGAATAAAACCAGTTCCTTAAGACGTAAAACTGGAGTGTGTTTTTAAATTTCATAATGATGAAATCGTGATTAAAAACAAAACAAATTGGTTAGAAATATATTTACTAGACACTAACCCTAATTCCCACAAACTGCTCATGTAACACAACCCAAGAAAGCAAGTAGACAAAGGAGACGTTGGAGGAATATAACGCCATGACGTCAGTGGTGTCAAGGATTCTAAGCGAGTAGATAAACATATAGTTCGTAATGACCCACAATAAACAGAACAATCCACAACGTCCGAGAAACTGGACAACGGTGAAGCCTTTCTCTCTAAATCCCTGGACACAGCCTCTGGAAACAAAACAAAAACTATTCATATATATATATATATATATATATATATATATA